TGATTATTTTGAACTATGCGTATTTGTGGACGTCTCCGTGGGCATGTGGGCGCCTGGATCTGCTGGAGCTGGAGTTACAGGTCTGGGAGCGCACAGTGTGCTGTTAGCTGCTCGACCATCTCTCCAGCCCCACCATGACTGACTTGATCCTTCTCTCCCACAGTGCAGAGCTACTGAATGTCCGCTCTGGCTTCTAGTCTAAGCATTGCAAACAGCGGTACCTGAATCAAACCCCTCTGCTCCTGGGGACAGACAGGTGACAAATGAGACAGACACCTAGTCAGCCCAGCACAGGAGTGGGCAAGTGCTGTGGAGAAATGGGAACCAATGAGGGTGGAAAGTGTGTGTGTGTGTGTGTGTGTGTGTGTGAGTGTGTGTGTGAGTGTGTGTGTGAGTGTGTGTGTGTATATGAGTGTGTGTGTGAGTGTGTGTGAGTGTGTGTGTGTCTGTGTGTGTGTATGTGTATGTGAGTGTGTGTGTATGTGTGTGAGTGTGTGTGTATGTGAGTGTGTGTGTGAGTGTGTGTGTATGTGTGTATGTGAGTGTGTGTGTGTGTCTGTGTGTGTATGTGTGCATGTGAGTGTGTGTGTGTGTGTGTGTGTGCAGCAATAGTTCTACTTTCAGAAAGTTGATCCAAAAGACCTTCTGGAGAGGGAAAGATGTGAAACCCTGAAAAAATGGAATAAGTGAAGGACGACGAGACATCTGAGGGGCAGGGCACCGGAGGCAGAGGGAAAAGGCAGGAGTCAGTGCAGGAGTGTGGCTATAGCTTTGAGGGACAAGGTCAGTGTTGCAGGCGCAGAGTCAGTGAGGTCTGGAGTAGGTAATGAAATACTGGAGAGGTAGTGGGGCATAGAAAAGAAAGAGAAAACATTAAATAATAATTATAACATTATTATAGTTATAAATATCTTAGCAGAAATTGTTAATAATTATAACGGTATTATTAATCATTATGTGACTCCTACTCTGGGAAGCCTGAGGAGCCGTGAGCAGGTTCGAATGAACCAACTGCTACTTTAACAGATACTTTAACAGCTACAGACAGTGAGGGCAAAAGCAGGGAGCTGCAAGCCAGCTACTGCATTCCAGCTGAGATTTCTCAGCACGGAGCAGGCTGGCACACAGGGTAAGACGAAAGGGGTCCTGCGGTATGGGAAGCTCACTCAGCTTACCCACTTTGGGTGAAATCACCTGATCAGTTCTGAGACTATACAGAGATCCTGCTAGCGCTTCGCTGATCTCAGACTTCGGGATGAAGGGCTGTGTGCTCCCCGCCCACATCCACAGCCTGCTCAGATGGGAAGTGGGACCCCTACCTAAAAACTGGCTCTCACAGAGAGCTGCCTGGAGCTTGGGGAGAGCCATGACAGACAGGAGAGGCTGCTGAAAAGGGAAGTGGGGCCAGCGCTCAGAGTTTTATCTGCTTTGTCCATAAAAGGAGATAAGACACTTCACAGAGGCCTGCACCGGGGCCAGAGTGTACATTCTGTCTGTTTTCTCTCCACATAGATTTATGGTGTCCCATCCATAGCAAACACGAGTTCTTCATGCAAACTTCTGTGTACTTGAGCTGCTGAAATTCAAGATCCGCCTGGGATAGCTGCTCATTTTAACTTTGACAATATTATATTTTGTCATTTCTGGGCCTTTCAGAAAGTGACTCCAAGGACCTCATGTGGAGACGAGTCAGTGTGTGTAGTTAGCTCTCTCTTGACTTTAATCTGTTTTCCTGTCATGAACCATTGCTCTTGTAGCTAATTAAGATGCTTTGATGCGACCTGGCTTTTTCTTCAGAAGTGACTCTTAAACTGGGATTGACAGGGTGGCAAGTCAGGAAGCAGGTGCTGGGAGGGGACACCTCCTCCTGGTCACGGATGTTTTCCCACTGACTACGGACTTTCTCGGGAGCTGGTCCACCTGTCTCCAGAAAGCTACCAGCAGGCAGCGACAACTCGAAGACCCGGTGAGCCACTTTGTCACACCCTAGGATTCTATTCATTGTCATCTTAACTTCTGTCTTTATTGGCACCAGTTTTGAAAAGGGAACTCTGATTGAGAATTCTCCCCCAATAAGCCTATTTTGAAATTAGGTAAAAAATGTATTATGGCAATAATTAGAGTTCAATTTCCTTGGAAAAAATGAACATTCAAATACCTAGATAATAGATGTTTTTAATAGTCAGGTATGGTGCACACCTGTAATCCCAGCATGCCAGAGGCGGAGGCAAGAGGATTTCAAGTCTGAGGACAGTTTAGACTTCAGAGTGAAACCCTGTCTCAAAATGAAGAATCTCCTGTTATTTTGTTTTAAACATTACTGTTTGGAGACAGAGTCTCAGGCTTCCCTCAGACTCATAGTCTTCCTGCCTTTACCTTTGAAGTGCTAGATTACAGGCATGCGCAGCCACACTTGGTTTATGTGGGTGTCAAACCAAGATCTTTGTGCAGCCTAGTCAAGTACTCTTCTAAGTGAGTTACATCCTATGCCCCTAGACATTTAAAGATCTCTTTTTTACATTAGCCAAAGACTTTTAATACTAGATTCACATGTGGCTTTTTTAATATTTTAAAAGCAAAGTGGCCTCTGTTGTCTTTGTCTCCGGGCTTCCTGCTAGAATGATCGTCTTTTCTGGAGCTTGCAGCTGTCTTAGAGCTGGTATTAATATTGCTAGTATTTGGCAATAAATAATTAATTATACTGCAAGAGACTAAATTTGGAGCATAGGAACGACTTTCGAGAGGGAGCCCTGAAAGAATGTTGTACTCAGGATTGTAGGAGGCTCTGGGACCAGGGAGGCGAGTGCATAGCTTGTCCAAAGACAACCAAACAGCATCCATGGCTGATATGTTCCTAGGTGGAAGCTTTATCCATCAAGTCACCAAGACGGTCAAAAGTAGCATCCAGGATCCCCTGTAGGGAAGATCTCCACTCCCCGGAAAGCCCCACATGCTCACCTTGCTCTAGAGTCTTCACTATTTCCTCCAGAGCTGTTATCAACCAAAGTGCTAGGTAGGCAGGCTCTTTCCTGATATCTAGAATAAGTCAGCTAAGGGTTTAAAGAGACAAAACGTTCACAATTCTTTATTATGTGTTGCATTATAGATGGATTCTGTTTGATAAAGTCCTATACAATTTCTCACTATCATTTCGGGACACTAAATGTCCCTGGAAACTAGAGAGGTGATGCAGAAATAAGTGCTTGCTACAAGGCTACCACGCCTTCCCCAACCCAGGTCAGGGTTATCGTGGTTGCTTGCCTCTCTGTTAAACACCTCTTTGCTGGAATTTATGCGGAATAAATTTCTGGAGCTTATGGGGAATGAACTATTCCCCCACCTCCCAACATCAAGACTGGGCCTAGGCTCCCCTACTATCCCACTTCTGTACCCAAGCCCTGCCTTCCTACACCACCTGGCCTCCACCTGGCTGCTAAGCCTCCAGCACTCTAGGTCCGGAATTTTTGAAGGTGGGAGGTGTAGGGGTGAGGACAAGAAAAGGAAAGGAAATGGTACTGAGGTGGCTCTGGCCTGCTCTGTAAGTATAGTTCAGCAAATCCTCTGTCCCTTCTCCCACAGTGGGGACAGCCAGGCAAGGTGATTAAACAATAGGTCCAAACACCATCTCTCAGACTCTTTGAAAGGTGGCCCTGGTGCTCCTGAAATGGCTGACTGGTCACCCGCCTCGCCAGGTGACCCCCTGGAGGTAGCCATAGTCTGAAGGTCACAGAGAGGAAAGGATAACTGATCAATGGGGTTGATGGAAAAAAAAAAAAAACACGAAACAATAATGATGTGATCCCGAAGACAATTTTAGTTCAACTGGAAAATCTGACCTGTTCTGCAAACAATTTCCATAAACTCGTCAGCATTCTCTTCATTAGACTATTCGTGGCTGTACGTATTCCTTAACTCTCTTAAAAAAGATCTGAAGCTACGCAGACAAACTATGCCGTAATAAAAGAGTAAGCTACCCCACAATGTAGCTACAGAGTGTTCTAGCTACAGCCCAAGCTGGCAGCTCCCACTTGCTGTGCTCACTTTTCTTCCATCCCTTCTGCTCTTCTAAGTGAAACTGCCTCTTTAACCCGCTTTAAGATGCTCTGGGATGCTTTGGGAGCTTTTCGTGGCTCTCTGGCGTGTACACAAGCGCGCGTGCGTGCGTGTGTGCTCGGCGCGCAGGGAGGGAAAAAGCGCGCAGTCTGGACTCTGCGTCACTCCCGCACCTGGTCAGAGATGGGCTCAGTGGTGTTTAATCCACGGAGGGCACTCCAACCCGGGTGTTTTCCTGGGTCCCTGATTTTCCTGCCTGGAGTACCAGCGTCCCAGCCTGCTTTGGTGCCCGGTTTCCTCCCTCCTGCCACTCGACCCCAGTGCAGGAAGAAGGGTGATGCGGGCGGAGGGCTGGTGGCTGGGTGGCCTGCGGGTAGGATGCGCGGTGATCCCGGTCAGTTTCGGAGGAGTGCGTGTGGAGGAGCTGGGTTCTAGTCGGAGCCCAGGCTACGTTACCACCTGCTGAGAGCCTCCGGGGCCAAAGTAGCCACGGTCAGAGCCACCTGCTATAAATAGGCCATCAGGAACACGATGTGCAAACGCACATCCCGCCGCGAAGGCCTTTATCACTCGTGGGCCCGCGTCCCCAGCACGCGGGGAATATCCCGGGCCAGGACTTCACGCTGAGGCTGGATGGGGCAGCGATCCGTGCACCTTTTCCGAGCTCTCGTGGGGTGGAGCCTGGTGGCCCCTGGGCGGGCTGAGGATGGACCGCTGGGGAGCAAGGGGAGGGAGGCTGTGGAGGACCCGCACTGCAGCAGCTGTTGCTCGCCTGTGACTCGCCAATCTGGGCCGTGTCGCCCCGCCAGAGTCGCACGGAGCGGAGGAGAAGGGAGGGCATTGCGTCCTGTTCTTGGCTCCCGCGGAACCCACTAAGGAGATCCCCGCTGTTGCCCCCTCGCCCCCGCCCCCGCCTCCCCCGCTCTCGCCCAGCCTGGGAGGAGGAAACGCGAGCAGCGCGCAGACACCTCCTCCTCGGCTGCTGTCGCCGCCGCCGGCCACACCGCGGTGCCTGTTGCTGCAAGCAGCCGCGGGACCCGCCGTATCTTCAGCCCGCAAGAGAAGCAGCGCCAGACTGTGGAACGGTCTCTGCGTGGGGCGGCAAGAGCGCAGTCAGCTGAAGACTATGGACGCCCGGCCCGCCCAGGCCATCTTCAGGGTGCTGGAGAGCACCTACGAGCCCCAGCCCAGCTCCGAGCTTTGAGCGCGCCACCTCGCTGGTAGGTTCCACCTTAGGTCCCTAAGGTTTCGCGCAGCCCTCCACCTCCAGCTAGCCCATGCGCTCCCTCGCCGCGGAGAAGCTGCGGTCCCGCCACCCAAGGGCGTTGCTGCCAGGTCTCTAGGGGTGCGCCGTTGGGGGAGGGGGAAGAGAAAGGATTTCAGTGCCACCTTTTTGTCCCCAGCTTGGAGGGAACCGAAACCTTGATGCTCGCTGTTACCAGAGCGCTCAGGCAGGCTTCTCCCCTGCTCTTCTTCCTCTCATCTCCCGCCTCCCCCTCCCTCCCGCCAAATATCACCAGGGCGAAAGTGCTTGAAAGGCTACCAGCTTGGGAGGAAGGGGTCAGAGTGACCCTAGGATACCTTTTCAAAGTTCAGGGTACTTTGCAACGCTAACTTTGGCAGCTTCTCGGCGCACTCAACATTTCTTTCTATGGGCACATCCTGTCCTGGTCATTTTGAAACCCGGCTTAATTGTTTTCTAGCAGCTTCCGGATTGTTACGTGAATAAGACTCTTTCAGATTTCACAGGTTGCTCTTTTCTTCTTTTCTGAAAGATGTGTCGTTTTGTTTGAAATCCACCTAGGTGTGGCGTTCCCAGTTGTGATTTTTTTTTTTTTAATTTTAAATGGCTGGTTCTCCGGAAGTTGCTTAAAAAGGAGAAGAAATTGAAAGTGATGATTGTTCCTCTCAGCAGACAGTTGAGTCTTCAGCGCCCCGGTATTGATGGATGGACAGGCGTTCACCTCATCCTTCTCTCTTTCTCCTCTTAGGTGACTGGGAGAGTTCTTTAATTAGTAGAATCGGGCGTTGGAAGGGAGTTTTTGATGACCTAATTTAAATGGGTCACACCCAAGAAACTCGGCTATCTCTACAAGCCTAAACTTCTTGCATTGCACCTACTCTGATAAAAGAGCCTCCTGTAAGTCTCGCAGACGTGAAGTGGGATTGCTGTGAGTTGGAGGATGGCCACACTTGGCCCTTGTTGTTTGTGGGGCCTGCTCAGAGTGGGAGGGGTCTGAGGGAGGAGGAAAGGGCAGCTGTACCAAGAGGTAGGAATGCACCTTGCAGCCACTTACCCGGTCACCACCGGGTGTTCTGTCCTGCGCCTGGCTGAGAGCGCTCTGTAGCTCTCTGAAAGATAGTTCTTTTACCTTTCCTTAGCATTCAGAGGATTGTTTCCTTTCACGCAGAATCAGCGTCTTCCTGACTCTCTTGGGGAATTAGGAAGGTACATGAAAGCGTGTGTAAGCTGGTGTTTTCCAACTGTTAGAAATGGGTTGCTGGGCCTCCAGCATGTCTGTTTTTAGGAGTTGGTTCCTACCAAGTTATAGACACTAACTCTCTAAATTTATCTCTAACTCACCGTTGATGTAGCATGAGCTACTGAATGGTAAGACGCGCGCGCCAGTGAGTTAGAGGGTATCCCATAACATGCTGAATGTATTAACTGATGACCAAGAGACAATAAAGGGAGCCACTGTGGCTTGGTGAACGGCTTAAAATCAGTAAGGGGCCATTAACAGGGATGCTTTTTGTGGATTTGTTCAGTCATTTATAAACCAGTAGAAAAAGAGGGGGAGCATTGGTGTAGTTATGAATTCTTAATACCAAAGGAGAGCTTTGCAATGGGACTCCCTGCCACAATCTACCCTGGTCTGTCCCATGGAGAGCTCAAGGGCTCCCTGATCACCTTGGGGACATTTCTGATTGGGTGACATCATGTCAGTGTTTGACTTCTAACTTATAAGACCTACTTTGTCACAGTTATCTGAGGGCATTTGGAGCTGGGTGACTGGAGGAACCCTGCGTGTTGTCTTTCCCCTGACTATCTATCCTTTGTCAATACCTGGCCCTACTGCTCCAGAAGACAGCCTGGACCCAGAAGGCGTGGTGCTGGTAGGAGCTTTGTTGTGGCCCATGTTGTAGCCGTGGTGCTGGTGGGAGCTATGTTGTAGCCCATGTGGTAGCCGTGGTGTTGGTAGGAGCTATGTTATGGCCCATTGTTTTCTAGGCTGTGCCCCTAGAGAAGGGCTGCCTGTGCCCCCTTCCCCACCAACTATTTGATAGAATAAGGGCAACAAGGACCACAGCTGCTTGAGGGGCTACTATTTTAAACATGCTTCTCTTTTTTTTCTCACCAAAGATAGCTCCCTGAAGCACCCCACCCCAGCCTTTCTCTGTAGGTCCCAGGCCCCAAGGTTTTTATAGACGCAGGAAAACGTCTATATGTGTAGTATGAGGCCGGCCCTCATACTACACATATGCCCTGGTGAGGACCAGTGTGTGTGGCTGGGCTGGCACCGTTACTTTGCCTTGCCCTTTCTGTGTCTGCCTTACTGCCCTTCTCAAGTTTAACGACCCCGGTAATCCCAGGACTGGATCTGCCTCCCAGTGCCGTTCTGTTCTTGGACATTAAACTTAGAGAAGCAGAAACTGTTCATTAAAATAACTGGCTGGCCCAGCAATGAGGGTGTGCAGGGTTCGCATCCCGGGAGCAAGGAAATGGACTCTGTCTTCAGTCCGAGCTGCTCCCATGCAAGCTGCTTTGCTGTCTTTGCTCACTCCTCCCCCCCTGCTTCCTTTTCAACCCTATTGAAATAGTTTAATGAAAATACTTCAAAGAAAATATTTTAAAAGAAGATTCCTCACAAAAGACATGATGTTCCAGGTCAGCTTTGGCTACATAATGAGTTTGTGACCTTGCTGGGTTACAGGCTACTCTGTCTCCAAACCCAAAAACCAAACAAACAACTCCCACCAAAATATAACAAACTCATTTAACTTTAGCGCATCTTCATTCATTGCCTAACAGGGGCAGCACATACCCAATTTCAACTACTATAAAAGCTGAGGCAGGAGGATAGAGAGTTGGAAGCCAGCCTAATTAACTAAACAATATTCTGTCTTAAAATGAATTGAAGAGAGAATTGGGGATATAATTCGGTGTTGGAATGTTTGCCTCGTGTGGAGAGGCCCTGGGTTCAATTCTTAGTACAAAAAAAGACATAATAAAACAAATATCTATAATAAATGAACTATATTTTCAAACTAAGAGAATACATACGGACTTGTCAGGTAGAGTGCTTAAAACATACCTGTTATCTAATTTAAAAATTACTGCCATTATTATAATTTAATTCCAACATTAAGTTTGAATTTCAAAAGCTATGGAAAATTTAGGCAGAGCAGCCAAGCTACGCCAATGAGAAAGATGTCTGAGGGGTTGTGAGACCTTAAGAGTGAGAAGAACCGGAGTCTGTGCATGAGACAGGTCCAGATTCAAATCTGCCTTCACCATTTATTAGAAAGAGAACCCGTCTGTGAAATGGGAGAATAAAGTAGACCCTTCTCAACTGTGGGAGTCCAGAAGGGCATCTGCAGCAAGTCCAAGAAGAGGAGAACCCAAGAGCCAAAAGATACAGGTTCAAATCCTGGTGCTGTGCTTAGCCATTTGACCATAGGCAAGTGCTCTCCCTGGAGGGGACCATGGTTTCTTCTCTCTCAGTTGTCTGTGGTTGCCATGAGATAAGTCAGTTAATAGATACACAGTGCTGTTTGTGTTGACTGTTGTTACCACTCAAAGCAGCTGTGCAGGAGGGAAGACTATTCACACACACACACACACACACACACACACACACACACACACACACACAGGCTTGTATTAGCTCTGACTTCTATAAGAAGCCATTCCAAAATGCTGTCACTTGACATGTCAAATTAGAGAGGCACACCCCAGCACTGAGCACCCAAGAGAAAGAGAAAGTTGAGACCACTGGCTTCCGGAACGCCATATCTACAGCTGCAAAGGATCACCCTTACCTGATCACTGCCCTGACTGGAGTAGAAAGAAGTGACAAACCGTGTTTTTAAGCAGTTGTTGTACACGATACAACATGGTGAATAGCATCACCAGACAGATGTGAGAATCAGAGGTCATAGGTAAAGAGGGGAAGAAGGAAGGGGCTGGCTCCTTTGTGATAACACCCTTTTGTGAGAACTAGCATGTTCTTGCAGAAAGAGGCCACCGTATCAGAGGAGTATTGCTCTCTTTATGAAGGTGGCCATGATTCAATCACCTGTTACTTGGCCCTACCTCTTAAAGACCACCACCTTTTAATATAGTCACATTGTGTACCAGGCTTCCGGGACACAATCCTAGGGCACCCACTAAAACCATATGGAGCCCTAGTGCCCTTCTGATCAGGTGAGAGCTGAAACTGCCTAGACTAGCTATTGGAGAATTTTATTCTGCCCTCTGTGTCCTGGAATGGGGTGATATGGAACTAGGAAGGGAGAGGGATCCCCCTAAACAGCTTGTGAACTCGACCCTGGCCTCTATGCTTAGATTCATAGACTCCTCCCCCCACCCCACACACAATTTTATTCTTAAATCAAAGACGGAAGCAGCTTTGTATCCTCACACAATGTGGGGGACATTTGGTATTCTGCATTATGGAAATTGCATTCACCAGACTTCAGAAACAGAAGAACCTCGGAGAGGATTTTATTTTATTCTCCTATAAGAATAAACTTCAGATTTGGAGAAGTTAAGTCACTTGCTTTTACAATTTCACACTTGAAAGTGTTCTTACGGGGAAATTGAGGTTCTTTCCAGCTTGGGGATGGGAGTCCAGGACTTGGACTGTCCCAAATCTGTCACTAAATTTACACAAGCCACTTCTCCAAAACCCAGTCGCCTCATTTCATATATGAGGGAAATTTCTAAATGGCTTGAAAGGACCTGGATCCTTTTAAAGTTTTATGATCCCAAGCTTCTGCTTCCAGGGTTAGCAGGTCTCGTTAACAGGATTACTGGAAGGGTTCTAGAAAAAGGACGCTCTTGTGTTTGGTTGGGTAGCTGCTATGTTTAAAGGCCATTCTAAAGGGTCAGGCTTGTATGTGTGTGATTTTACTAAGAAGAACCTAAGCAGAACCCCCACTGGAATAGCAGGGCATGATTTTCACTGCTTGGGTACAAGACAGAAGGGACCTCTAA